TCGGTGGAGGCGGAGGAGTAGCTACCTTCACAGGAGTAACTTCCTTCACTTTAGCTTGTGGCGGAGGAGGAGGAGATACCACCTTGGCGGGAACCTCTTTACGTACTTCCGAACTAGTTGTGACCTGGGAGCTAGTGATCTGGACCGATTCGGTCTTTGTGGATGATGATGTCTTGGAAGACTGCTGCTTCTTGTACTGCTCTATGGCTTCCTGCTCTAGCTTCAGCAGCTCCTGTTGTTCGTGCTGAAGACGCTCCTTGGTCTCCTTGCTCAGGAAGTAGTTCTCTGCCACATCAGAGGGTCGGACGCTGAGATTCGGATCGTGGGCCTCGGCCCGTTGCGGAAGATGTAGGATTAGCTCACTTTCGGAGGCGATTTGAGATTGATCGACCTTCAGGTCATCGGCATTGTGCTCCTGCAAGGTGACGTCCTGGTTGATGTGGCTGGAGATCTCGTTGAACCAGGTCAAGTGAGACGACTCTGGGCCATGGGGCTTTATGATTATGGGTAAGAAGGAGCTGGCCTCCGGCGTTTTCAGACTCAATTGGATTTGTTTCTCGTCGGCCCTGTGCTCGATGTTGCAGAGTGGAAGCTTGACGATGTTTTGCAATATAAATACGGATCTGTTCTCGGATATCTTTCGGACCTTGGTCACCAAAATGCGCGACTTGAACAGGAAGCAGTAGCGATCGTGCGACTTGCCCTCCTTATCGATCACGTTGCACCAGTCGTGGAGGAGCAGGCGCCCCAACTTGTAGATGTTACCCCGACAGCCCTCGATGCTGGAAAGAAACCTATTGTCGTACGCTCTACTGGGCACACTAAGCATTAACTCTAAGGCCCTCTCCAAGTCTTTTACGTTCTCTTTCAAGCTTAGCGAGTACTTTATAAAGTCCTGCGAAAACAAACATTAAGTAAGGTCTTTAGCAAGCCGCATGATTAGCTCAAGAGGATTAGCTTAATTAGGTGATTAAAGTGATCAAAGAGTTGGCAGATTAACACTAAACATGGGTATACGGATATTTCGGCAAACCTTGAACAAAAGTTGATAGTCGTTTATTCTCTGGATGGGCAGTTTAAGGTGTTCTGAAAGAGATTTGTCGTCCCCAAGCTGTTTTGAAAGTTCCTGCAAGTCAAAAATTAACAGGTCTTTTAGTTCTCAGGTATAAACAGTCTGATTCATTGCAAGGTCACTGGATCTCCAAAGTTCGAATGAATTTGGAAATGAAATAATAATATTTATCGTTAGTCGCTGATTTGCTGGTTTTCTGCATCCGTTTGAATTTGCGCCCGTCTAACGAACTTATACATTCGAGATCTCTCTCTCTCTTTTTTGGGGTTATTTTTGGAACGATGTTTAAAAATTTATCACTTGTTGCAAAAACGGATACGTGTGCGTGCGTCGGTGAATGATTTTCTATATGCCTGTACTTTGGTTTGGAAAGCTAAACACATATGTGTATACCAAATACATATTCGAATATTAGTATTCAAATGTTTGTTCAGATATATTTTTATTCACTCTATGCCCTGTGTTCATATTCACCAACTACGAATATTCACTGCTGAACCAATTTCGAAATGAACAAGTAGAAGTGAACTCATTAAAGTCAATGTTACAATATTTTTGCCACTATATATATATACATTAAACACTTTTAGATGTGAGGTCGAAATATGTGGGCTGAAGAAAAAATTGTTCACATACATATATTTATAAATGTATACGTATTAGCGTATCTTTTAATAAATATATTCTCGCACAGTAAAATTTCGGAAATGTTGCATAACGGGCGAAACGTCATAAATATTCACGGATTGATTTAAGAAATGATTTTTGTCCAGCGATTTAATTGCTCTGCTATGGAGTCATTCCATGTCAAATGGATATCAATGAATGGAGAGTGTTTTCTGGGATTACACCGACTTGAAATAAAAGTTCATCGTAGTTTTGGGGGTCAAAATGGGTCAGAACAGTTGGTTGTACCAATTAATGACTAGATAACTTCAAGTACCTAAAGCGAAACGGTTACGTATATGAATAATTAGCACGACACGACCGCTAACACTACTCGGAAGCAACTGAAAACTGCAAAAGCTTTAGAACTGAAAAGCGTCTGCCTTTAAAAATAAACTGATATTCTCGCACATCGCGTACGCATAATATTCGAAGACGTTTCCAACTTTTTGCTCAGCTTCAACAATGTATTCAATTCTCTAATATTTTTGATTTCTTCCCACAATTGCAATAAATAAGGGACAAATATTTTGACCACTATGTTGCTCTATCTATTTTTGTCATATTTATAGATACTTACTTGAAAGTACTTTTTTGCATCGGGACTTGAGGTCAAGTAGTCCTGCGCCAAAGGTTCATTTTGGCAATAAACCACATGCTTGTCAAAGTCCCTTTCCAAACGTAGAAAAGTTTTGGCCACCATATTCGGCTGATTACTATAGCATTTCAGACCTTCCTTCAGCACGCTGAAATATCAATTCTTCATAATCCTATCTTTGTTATTAAATCTTCGTAATCTTACTTATTGTGAAACTCGGCTATCTGCAAGAAATTACAGAATATTATATCCTTATTGTCCCGGACAGATCTTGGCACCACCGGCTTGTCGATACCCTTTATGTATTTCTCTACCACATGAAGCAGATCCCTGGAGAATTCTTCTTCAGTTTCCACCAGCTCTCTGAGAATCGTCCTAAAATATCCATTGAAAAAAGGGCTGGCAATACTTTTCCTTCTATAAAGTAAACTGAGATCTCTTACAGTTTTCTAAATTCCGCATCTCCACTTTCCTTGCCATTCGAGCTACTCATTGTGGGATTAAATTCTAAAATGTCAATGGGTACCCAGCCTTCCTTGGGGGAGTCCCCACTATCGAACATTCTAACAAAGCATCTGAAAAAAGTTATTGACTGCTCAAAAGGTCCGTTGTTGATGATATTCGGGGTCCCAACCACGTACCTTGATTTTTCGGTAGCTTTTGAACTTATTAGTTCGACCAGATCTCCGCGAGAAACGCTGATTTCGTCGGTGGCCATCGTTTGAGCCTGATAATCCCGGCTCACGAATACAATATCCGCAACCTGTTGAGTAAAACCGATATCGTATCTTTATCTTTATTTCTTATAAAGTTTTTATGTTTGGCCACAAACACACATTTCTTTCAGCCATTTTAGTTCTTTATCGCAGAATGACCACTTATTCCTTAATATCCAAAGGGTTTATGTAATTTTTCCGATATTTCCAAATGATCACCAATACTTATCGATTGGTTCTCATAACACATTCAGTTGCGGCGTACACAAACAAAAAGTGGCTGTGCAATATTTAGCTCGTTAGCTGAAAGTCTATTTTGCGTTGACATAGACACGCGGGCTCGGCTATTTATTTCGATGTCCACTTTTACTGAGTGCAAAGCTTGTGCAGCCGAAACAGCTGATTTTCTCCCTCGAACAGGGTTCTTCACTTCGGGCCAATGATCCGAAACCACAGTAAAACCGTTCATGTAGAACTTTCGAACTTTATCAAATCTCTAGTGACTTTCTCGATAACATTTTCATGATCATTATGTTATATGTTGTTACTTTAAAGTACAATATTATTTTTCACATAATTTTTATATCACAATTTCATATTGTCCCAAAGATAGTTTCGATTTTGCGATTACAAGATATATTTTGTGAACTTAACATAAATTTTATAATTTATAAATCACCACTATATTTATGAAAATAATATTTCATATTTTTAGATTATTTTACTTTTTTCTTAAAGGATATATATATCATTTTTGTAATCACTTCATTTTAAGTTATTTACAATACATAACATCACTTTAATATTTGGAAAAGTAATTAATTTTAATTTATCACTCTTATCACAGGAATTTCCATAAACCTTAGATAGTTTTGTTAGGCAAGGCACTGTCGATATTTTCTCACATTGTACATACATATAATGGGGGTACTTTCGTATGTACATCTGGTTGCACAAAAGTATTAATAAGAAAATTTGGCACATGTTCATACACCGATTTATGTGTGTATTTTTTGGACACGCATAACTTACGGCATCCATTTCGGCTGACTAGATTGATTCGGTATCACTCGATTAACTTCACACACTTCATTAATTATCGCACATTGGTACGTATTCGAAAATGTATTGCATAACTTATTACTGAGAGCAATTTCGAATTTTATTTCATTATAATTTGCACAGGATTTTAAGCATGATTGGGTCGAAATGTCGATCGTTGTAACACTAAATTTTCAGGCACTCGAATTCGTTTGTCATAATTCAATAGTCGAAGAATTTTCCGACGGGGCCAGGCCAAATTGAAAATCCAATTCAAAAGTGGAATAGGTTTAAATTTAAACTTCCGTCGCGTGAAAAATAATAGCTACTGCGTGCGGATACCAATGATTTTAACTGCATCCCGACAACTGTACGACTGATCGATATTCGCTGATCACAACAAAAGCTCCCCTCGAAAAATCGTTTCACAATTTAAAAATAATGCACATGCACCTCGGCATCCGAAATACAAGCAAACAGTCTAAAAGTTTATAGCTGTCACAGGAGTGCATATATATTTCAGCACCCGAGAGTAGTGCGCCTGCATACATATTTAATTAAGTATTATAAAATATATACCCACGAAGTTTATTTATACGTGCTTGTACGTTATGTTTATGTTCGGAAATAATGACTTTTATAATTAATTTGCAAGTGCAATTCCTCCTGTCACCTTAAATGAAATCATAAATGATGCCAAACGCCGACAGTCCTATAAATTTGGGGACAAATTGGCTTTACAAAGTATATAAGCAGATGATTATTAGTCACTACTTGGTATTGGGATTTCAGAGAAACATATAGTTAATAGATTTTTCTTTACAAAACATTTATGCTAATGCAAATCTAAAGCTTTTGGCTTCAAAGCTTTGTTACTTGTTCGAAAACACTAAAACATTTTAATTTTAGTTCTCACCACCAGCAAACAATAGAATTCTATTCTAGAACAGATTACTAACCCACAATAGACGAAGCCTAAAACTAGGCAAGCTTATTAGAAGCACCCGAAAATTGCACAAATTCATCTAAGGATATAACTTTTTAATAATAATATTTCATGGTAATACTAGTCTTAAAGTAATCAGTGATAGCCAACATTTTCTCTGGGCAAAAAAGCGCAAGCTATGGAAGCCAGTAGACCCACGAATGCATAGGTGGACATTGCTTGAACCTTGGATGAATCCATCAAAACTTGCGCTACAAATGGGGTTAACATGGCGCCAAGTCTGGCCAGCACAGAACATCCTGAAACTCCCACAGATCTCAAGGCGGCGGGATATATTTCCGGGGTATACACATAAATAGCTTGAAAAATCCCAGATATCGTGCCCCGTGCAATGAAAAGGGTTAGGGAAGTTGAAAAGCGACTGAGAAAAAATAAAACAAATTATTTTTAGTTACAACTTTAATATAATATTCCTTACCTTGTTACCGACATCAGCACCAAAGTGCAAAGGACAAGCACTAAGTATTGCAGGACTATTGTTTTTTTCTTGCCAAATAGTTTAATAACCTTGATGGTTATTAATATTCCTGGAAATTCAGATAGGGTAATCCACAGCAGGTCCATGAAATCGGAGGTCATGAAGGTCACGCACTCATTCGGATTATTCTCCTTGTTTCTGGCCACCAAAAGCTCAGTTGTTACCAGGACTAAACCGTAGTAGCAAAAAGCCGAAGCCAGCCAAATAAACCATAGTAATATGGTGGTTCGATATAGGTTCGAACTGAGGAGGGACCTGAAGCTCTCTGTTGAGCTCGGCTCTTCATCGGCCATCAAACGACCCATCAACATGTGACGCTTGTTGTTATGAGCTATCTAAAATCGGGGGTTCTACAAAAATATTTTTAATATTTTGAAATTTTAATAATCACCTGTTCCAAAACTTTAATGGCCTTGTCATTATGCCCATTGTATGAGTAATAGCGAGCCGATTCGCTCAGCCACTGTAATTGGTTGTAAATATTAATAATATAATGCATATGAAACTACACCTCCTTACCGGTGATAAAATTGTAAATATTAATAGGGGTGTAGCTGATAGAGCCAAAAGTCCTCGCCATCCGTAATAAGGGTAGACAACTAGGGCCAGAACAACTTCAAAGCAAGCTCCCAAAGCCCAAAAACACTAAAAATAATTTTAATTTCATTAAAATAATAGGATTTTGAATTCATACAGCACCATAAGTAAGTACTCACATCCATTAGTACTACGCACTTTCCCTTGTGTTTGGTGGGCAGAAACTCAGCATATAAGGTGACCCTTTTGTGTTAAAGAAAGTTTGTTATGTGATGTATTTCTTAAGCAGTGGAATTACTCACGATTGTGGAACGCAGCCTATTGCAAATCCCACTAGACCTCTTAGGGTTAAAAGCCAGGCATAGCTGGGAGCCACTGAACTTAGTATACTATATAAGACTAGTAATACTCCAAACAAAGTGAGGGCCTGAAAATCAAATTCCTTAATGAGATATTATCCGCTTTGGAGTCGAACAACTCTTACCGACTTTCGGCCGTATCTGTTGCTCAGCTGTGTCCAAAAACTAGAACTCAACATCATGCCCAAAAACACAATAGTTGTGACCGAAGCCTGCTGGAATTTTGTGACATTCCACTCGCAGAATAAAGCTGGACCAAGAATACTTAAGATGGCCATTTCCATGGAGTCGGACATCCAGCAAAGTCCCACCAAAAGCGACAACTTGACGTGAAACCAACCGAAACCAAAGGCATTGATCGCCTGCTGAACAGTGTAGGTATCTGTAAAAGAGGTCTTTGTTATCCAAAAATGCGTGACTTGACTTAGTTAGGTACTCACCATCTGGATTTATAGATACAGTCTTTAGCTCTAGGGTTGATGTGTGGGTCTCCCTTTGGGGGAAATTCGCCACAGAAGGAAGAGCAACAGTCTCGTTATTTAGATAATACATTTTGCGGTCTAGCAGCACATATGAAAGTTACTTGGTGCCGCAAAGAGCATTGAACTGCCCCTCCCGAAATTTGAAATAACTTTATATATCTGAAAGTAAACACTTTTTAGACACGAATTCATATTTAAAATAATAGTTTTGTATATCTTATATACATTGGTATACGTATTACCTACAAGCTTAAACTACCTTTTTCGATGGTAAAGAAAGTTGCTTCCAAAATCTAAGACTATGATTTATGTCTTCGAATGTAGATACACAGAGTTTGAGCCATTTGATTTAAGCATAACCGAGTAAACTATCTCATATTTAATTTGGAATGCAACAAGCCAATACTTTATGTGCTTTAAAAACAAACAACAACCTTTCCTAAGCACTTTCTTTTCTCAAATAAGAAACTGAGAATCAGATGTAATGTAAACAACACGCACACAGCCACAGTCAATTCTCATAAACATGGTGAAAGGTAACGACTGAAGACTGTCTTCAAAACTAGTCAATCGATAACGATAGGCAGCGCTAAGCTTAAACAGAAATTCAAAGTTAAACTTATTACTATATTTTCTTAAAATAAAAACTATTATTATTCCAATATTTCCAAAAGAAACTTAATTCAATAATTTTAATGTTATAAGTATAATTATATTATATTATCAAAAATAAATTTAAAAACCAAATAGGCTTCTTTTTTGCTTGAACAAATTGTCATTTATATATGCCTACAATTATTACGTTCTCCCAAGCCAAACAACACATTTTTTTAACGTTCACCAATCAGAGCTCCACTATCTTACCACGATGGACAAGGATTCTTGTCAAAATTTCTCATTAGACTCTACGTCCAGTTCGCAATTTGTACTTCCGCCAATTTGCAATCCGAAAAAGAAGAAACCTGAAAAACCCAAGGTGGAGGAGACCTCTGCAGAATGCTCCAACGTAATCACATCGACATCCTCATCCTCGACGACAACCATATCAATAGGCGCTTTTGATTCGCAATGCAACCTCCATAATGCACCGGTTCCCGAAGCCCCGAATATCGGCTATGAGTTAAACGTGGCCAAGTCCATATTGCAGAAGTATAGCACTCTCAGTGGCGATAACTTGTGAGTACATCTCAATATATCAAAATATCCTAATAGAATATAGTTGAGACTCTGAAGAAACCATAACGTGGTATCTTTCTATATCTAACATCTGTTATCTTTGTATAAACGATAGATCTCATTAATGTTATAATAACTACCTCATCAGATTTGATCACCTAAGTGATATTATAAAGAGGGTGATTGACGAGCGTCCTCCCAATGTGATCGACTTCTTCGAAGAATTCAGCAGAAATGTCCGCGAACAAAAGTTCCATTTACCAGAACGTTTTCCTCCAAGTGGTGTTTTCGATGAAGTTCGTACTTTCCGGGTGGCCAAGAAGATTCTCCAATCCATGAAGGTGATATAAAACAACCTTAAAATATAACCTTACAACATTAACACTCACCCATAGCTGCCCTACAATATTGAGGGCGAGGATCTGATGGGCGAAGATATGTCCGGTGAGGATGCTAGGACAAATGAAGAACTGAACATCGTTATAGACGATTCCATGCGATACTTCGTTACTTTCAACGAACGAGTCCAGCAACTGCAGTTCTACTGGACACAATGTGGTTTTAGCATTTGCAACGACGACATCTTCCAGTTGGCCAGTGCCATGAATCGTCTGCAGACCCATCCCTCGATAATGCAGTGCAGATTTTGGGGATGCATCAATGGACTGAAGGCCTCCTACTATATAGTCGAGGCCTCACTGACCCGTGAGGAAATAGCTTCGCGCCTGGTCATGATGGAGGATGAGATGAGGCAAAAGCAAGTCCCGCTGCAGATGCGCAAAGACAGGGACGAAAAGCCGTTGCCACCGCACATTGGTCCGGAACTCACGCCGGGAATATATGGTTGGGAAGAGTTTCCGCCCGAAGAGCTGGAGAAGATGAGGCCCAAGGCTGCCGCCGTTCCTCTGGTTGAGGAAATGGAATTCTACGATATTCCACCGGAACTGATTGGCCTGGGATCCAATAGATACTCTTACTTCGTTGTAAATTCCCTCTTCGACGATTGGATTGAGTTGCCCATAGTGACGCCCCGGCAGATTGCAGTGTCCCGGCAGATCAAGAAGTTCCTTACAGGCGACCTGGAAGCGGATGTAGTATCTTTCCCCTGCTTTCCTGGAAAAGAGAAGCATTACCTACGGGCCTTGATAGGTCGCATCACTGCTGGCACCTATATTGCACCTGTGGGCTACTACAGGCGGATGACCAAGAAGGAAAAGAAGTTGTTCGATGGCGAGGAGGAAGACGGGGGCGAGGAAGAGGAGGAGGAAGAAGAGGAGGAGGAGGTCAACGAAGGCGAGGAGGAACAAATAGAAGGTGGGTCAATTGAGTATTTAGTACTTATATCACTACCCATTCAACTTACAGATAACGACGTAATGCTTTTGAAGAATGAAAAATACGAAGTGGAACCACTGGGATCTCTGGCCACTCCAGTAGCCTGGGTTCATGTGAGATCGAATATCCTCAATCAGCAGGGCCGAGTAGTTTGGTATGACGAGGAGAAAGCCCGTAAGGAAAGGGAGAAGGCTCTTGCTCTCTATTTGAAAATGCAAATGATGGGCGAGATGGAGGAAGAAATAGAGGAGGAAGAAGAGGAGGAGGAGGACGAGGAGGAGGGCGAAGAGGAGGGAATGATCGAGGGCTTTAATCAACCCGAACTGGGTCCCAGTATCCTCTCCTCCTGTGCCAACGATATGAACCCCGAGGTTTCAGTTCCATGGCTAGTCCGCTTGACCAGCAAGTATACAAATCAAAAGGAGCGAATGCTTCTCATGCAATCGAACATCTGGCCAGGCGCCTATACCTTTATCTTTGAGAAGACCTGCGAATCGATATACTTGGGCTGGGGCCACAAGTACTACGCCCGCAATATCCCCTTCAAGCACTTGCCCATGGTGCAGGAGGAGTATCCACACGATGTCGAGGACTTCATCGAGGCCAGTGATCCCACCGTTGAAGAGGAGGAGGCCTACAAGGCTTGGCTCCTAAGAAAACAGCAAAAGGCCGACTACGTGGCAGAAGATATCGAAGATTATGATGATGAAGAGTTTGATGATCAGTATGACGATGACTAGTAACCTCCTGTTAAATTTAATGTTTCTTTTTTTCTCAGTTCTGCAATAAAATGCATTATCAGTCTCAGTATTTACTTTGTGAGCTTTAGTTTGATTTTATTATTTGGAAATAAAATACATATCGTGTATCTAAAGTGAATAATATTGGACTTACGTTTTACTTCACTCCCTTATGTACAATTACATTTTCTAAAACGGACTTTAAAAGTAAACTTAACTGAAATCACACGTGCACATCATCATCCTATATTTTGTCATTAAGTTAAAGAGCTCTTTGAACCATATGTACATTGCAGCTTTCGTGTGTTAAATGTAATTTAGTTATCGTTGGCTGTGACTTTGACACATGGAACCCATGAAGTCTTAATGGCTAAATACGGAATCGAACAAATTTGGTAATACAACGGGCATCTCTAAAAAAATGCGACAGCTTACAGCTTCATGGACTCCTGTAGCTGCTCTGTGGCATTTGCAGACGGCTTTACAAATTCCGGCTTGGCGGCGTTTGCTTCAGGCTGTAATGGCTGGAAAAATAAAAAGTTAATCAGCGATAAGAAATCATCTATAACTTAATATAATATACCTTGGTGACTGATGAGCTATCTTCGCTGATGGGAGGTTTTTTATTACCCATGCTCTGAATGCAAAAGTTCTTTAGCTGATCCATCGAAGAAGCCAGCAAGCTATTCTTACTGTTTGTTAGCGTTATCTGGGGTTAAGAAATGTTGATTAAACTTGAGGTTGCACGGTACATGCACACGATCGACTTACCTCTTTTTCAATTTTATCTAAAGACTCATCGAAGCTTGTTACTTTCTGCTTATATTCCGGCCAACTGTTACTTATGGTGGCCACATGGGACGTAATATTTTCCGATCGATCCAGCAAGTCGTCTATTTTTGTCTGCAATAAATTATAATAGTTAGAACTGATGACACCCACTGTTTCATGAGATTACCTTATGCAGAGATACTTCCTCGGCGAGCATTTTCGTTGTTTGACTTAGGGTATTATTCACATCCTTCAGATCGTTGGCCAATAGCTTAAAGGAATCAAGAGTGGTTTTGTTGAGAGCAGCAATATCTTCCGATAAATTGGCGGGCAAAGCGTTGGCTTGGAGTGTAGGTAATTGCGAGAGGTTGAGCTGCAGGGTTATAACCGTCATTACATTGGATGATATTCGAGATAAAGTTTTGGTAAGCTCACCTTTAAGGCTTCTGTGTCGGCCTGAAGAGTTTTCTGAACCTCGGTGTACTTATTATAGTGTTCCTTGATGGCCTCTATATCCGTAGCCACGGCTTCTATCTTGGCGCCGAAGTCTGCCACCAACTTCTCGTCCTTTCCATGGTTTCTCTGGGCTGCCACGGCAGCCTCCAGATTGCTAAAGTTGTTCCGTAGACTCTCCATGGTTTTTTGGAGTTCATTTATTTCCGAAATGACGGCTGTCTGATTCTTCAGCAGGAAAGACGAAGTCTCGTGCCACCTTTGTAGGGTGTCTGGAAAGTTTTTGCTCATAGCGGACACTAAAAGATTATATAATTAATACATTGTAAGTTGCAGACTTGTATGTTACGTACCGTCTTCGATCTTCTGACGATAATCGGTGAGTTGCTGACGCAGATCGAAGTAGAGCCAGTACAAAATGGCCACAATTAAAATGCCTATAATTCCCAATAAAAGGGGGCCGCACATGCGGAAATAAGCAATTTTGCGGTGACTACGGCGACTAGATCCAGCGACATTCGTCTGAAAAGAACGCAATACATAGGTGTTGCTACATATTTGTTTCTTTGTTTTGCAGGGGTGGGATATATAGTTAATAATTTACTTATTCGTAACGAATATGTATCTTTGAGCACGCATAAGCTGTGAAGTTCAATCGGTCAGGTTCAGATACATAGATACAAATACATCTAACCTTGAGCGGCGATGTAAATATAGTAAATTCCTTACCCATGCGTAATCCTCAGGGTCGTCGGTCGAGACCGAGAGCAGTTTGTCCTGGGAATTGGTGGCTCCGGGGACTCTCCGGTTGGCTCTCTTGGACGAGGACGACTGGGAGGCTATCAGGGCGTCCAGCTCCCGACGTTTCTTCATTTTCTTTCCGGCCCGCAGGGGCACTTCAATGCGATGGTGGCAGTCCATTGTCTCGCCTTTGAAATACGATCGTCTCCAGTGGAATTCTTGCAGGTCCGTTGAAGGCTCTAACTTTTACATTTTTTCAGCGTAGGTCCAGTGGCTTTGTAACTCTGGAACAACCATAACATGTACTTATACTGATAAAAAAAGAACTTCTGCGCATGATTTAGATTTATAGTGATTAAGATTATGTCTATCGGTAGTAATCGATAAAAACATTTAAACTAATTTTGGAAATGAAACTCAGTTTTTATAGTTTCTATAGCCCCAGAAGTATCTTTTCTTGGAGCAAAAACCCTTCCTGTTATCTAAAATTACTCAGATATTTTGACCCAAAAAGTGAAGGGGCGTTCGATAGGTTCAGTAATTTTCGGACTTATAATAACGGTCTCACTGCCCCCAAACGACTTTTTGCATTGCATTGATTTTTACGCCGTGCTTGCTTTATCGATCTAGTTTAATTAAGTTCAAAAATGTTCTGTGCGCTTCTGCTCGTCTGCTCAGAGTTTCCGTTTAGTGTTTTCTAACGTTGGGATCCATATATGATATATGATATGTTCGTTGATGTATTGTTGCAATAGGTGCGCCTTCACTGATTTCGATTTCGAAATGGCCAAGAACAGCTTTAAGACTTTAATCAGCCAGAAACACAAAACGTTTCCGGCGGACCTAAATATGTACGGAATGAAGTGTAAATCGCAACTGTTGGAGGATCAGGAGAATGTGACCCTGATCATCAATCGGCGGAACTCAATCCGCCAGAAGCCGAAGAGCTGGACGTGGGCCCTGCTGCGATGCAGGTGGCAAAAGAAGCTAGTTCTGTTGTTAATATTTATTTGTATGTGCGTTCTAATTGTTTTCGCCAATACGCATCTCTTGGTTCGCGGCAATATCCTTTCGGCCTTTCTTTCGAGCCGTCTCAATAAACTCTCGCATGCGGAGAAACAGGAGGCGGGGCGATATCCGGACATCCAGGCCACGACCCCGGCAGTTCCTCCGGTTCTGAGGCCAACGCACTATCTGCTTAACTATTCCTCCGCCCAGCTTGAGTTGGGCTCGCACCTGAATGGCTTCTCCTCGAACTACAACATATTCGTCATCTACACCCGGGAGAACTACCATCTGAACCTTAAGTTCGATTTGTTCGCCCACAGTCTGCTGAAGCACACCAGTGCCCAGTTGCATCTGCATGTGATTACGGACACCGAGAGCCAGACTTCGGTGCTGGAGATCCTGCAGCGACAGATCCGGAGGTTCCGGCGAACGGTGATCTACACCATATACGATGTGAAAGTCTGCTCCAGCATAATACAGGACATAGCCGCGAAGCTGTCCCCGTACTTTAGCTCAGCCCCGAACTCGTACTACAGCGACTCGCTGTTCTTTCTGTCCCTCGGCCTGCATAGAATCGCCGATAGAAGCCTGAACAGAGCCATTCTGCTAGATTGTGATATAGTCTTCCGATCCGATGTCCGATTGCTGTTCAACGAGTTCGACAACTTTCTGCCGCACCAGCTTTACGGACTCGCCCCGGAACTGACACCCGTTTACCGCCATATCCTGTACCGCTATCGCGTGAGGTACCCGAAGACCAGTTTTGGCAACCCGTATTATCCGATGAACAACGAAATGGGCAACCAACATAGTCATATCCATCACGGTTATCCTGGCTTGAATTCCGGGGTGGTCCTGCTGCTCTTGAACCGCATCAGGAACTCAAAGTCCTATCTGGAGAAACTGCTTCATTCGGAGGTGCATACCCTGGTCGCCAAGTACTCGTTCAAGGGTCATCTCGGGGACCAGGACTTCTTCACGCTCCTGGGCTATGAGTACCCAAATCTGATTTATAGACTGGACTGCATTTGGAACCGACAGGTATTACAACCATTTGATTTTGACTATTTTAAAGCAGTTAAGTATTGACATTTATTAATATTCTACAGCTGTGCACTTGGTGGAAGGATCACGGATATTCTGACATTTTTGATGCATATTTCCGGTGCGAGGGCAATATTAAAATGTATCATGGCAACTGTAATACGCGAATTCCAGAATAAATAAAATTGTTATAGTAATATTAAAATAATAATCGAACGGTAGAATGTGGGCTTATTTCAGAAATGAGGGTGTTGGATATGGAACGTTTATGTGATGAAATGGGAATGGAATTTTGTATTTAAAATTTCAAGGATTGTTTAAAAATATCCGTTTTCGCTAATTAAAAGCAATGAAATATATATACATTTAGCATTACAATTTTCCAATCAGTGGATCGGAAGGAAAAAAAAAATCGACAATGTAATAAATATTAATAATAATTTTAAAATCTAAGGGATGTGAAAATGTTATCGATAGGCAGACGAAGTGGGAACATGCCACTTTCGTGGTAACAACTGAACAGGGTGGTTCGTGTGAGTGGTTTCTCCTCTTGCTTCTTATCTTTAACCTTCATTTCGGCTCCGTTTTTTTCACTTACGCTGAGGCTGTCTCCCTTTTTCACTGACACTTACGCTGAGGCTGTCTCCCTTTTTCACTGGCTTACGTTTTACGTTACGTTTATGAATTAGGACCGGACGAACCGGACGACCGGACGAAGAATAAGTCGAGCATAAAAGTAGACGATGGCGCCGAATGCAGCAGTACCAGTGGAGCGATATGAGCCCCAAAACATTGGAATCAACGCGATTCTGTTGGGGCCGCCGGGATCCGGCAAAGGAACGCAGGTGGGTCCAAAGTTACATAATGGTGTGTTTTTAGTGACATGGACGCTGCTTGCTCTATAAATAAATACAACGTGGTCAAATGCGCGCGTTTTATGTTTACAAATAATATAGAAATCGAGTTAATTTCCTTTAAAATGAATAAAAAGAGTTCTTACATAACGGTACAGATATGTACGTTGTACGTACGAAGTTGTGTATCTATATAATATGTGTGTGCGAAGACCTATTTGACCCTGAATGAAATGAAAAGATTGGCGTGATGAAACGAATTAAACGAGGGCACCTTAGAACAATTTAGTGGGTATTATGCAGGCCGGCTATTAAAAACCCACCAGAACTTTCTTGGCTACAAGAATGCATCTTATCAGCGGTTCGCTAATTGCCAACCTTTCTGATATGAGAAGTGTTAAATTGATTAGCTTTATCGGAACGGATCAGTATCAATGTTTTTAATTATGCCCGTTTTATAGGCTCCGCTCCTGAAGGAGAAGTTCTGCGTTTGCCACTTGTCCACTGGCGACATGCTGCGGGCGGAAATTTCATCTGGTTCCAAGCTGGGAGCTGAGTTGAAGAAGGTTATGGATGCCGGCAAACTGGTGTCCGATGACCTGGTGGTGGACATGATCGACTCCAATCTGGATAAGCCCGAGTGCAAAAACGGATTCCTTCTGGACGGATTCCCCAGGACTGTCGTTCAAGCTGAGAAGGTAACATAAATATTACTACACTTGACACTCCAGAATTTAACCTTTTCCATCGGGTCCTTTTAGCTCGACACATTGCTGGACAAGAGGAAAGCCAATTTGGATGCTGTCATTGAGTTTGCCATCGACGACAGTCTGCTGGTGAGGCGCATCACTGGCCGTTTGATCCACCAGGCCAGCGGACGGTCCTATCACGATGAGTTTGCCCCTCCCAAGAAGCCAATGACGGATGATGTTAGTATTTGTTTGGCACATTGTCAACCATCACTATATTACTGACCTTATGTACGACCCACAGGTAACCGGAGAACCTCTCATCCGACGCAGCGATGACAACGCAGAAGCTTTGAAAAAGCGACTAGAAGCATATCATAAGCAGACGAGGCCTTTGGTCGACTACTACGGCCTGAGGGGTCTGCACTTCAAGGTCGACGCCGCCAAGAAGTCCAGCGACGTCTTCTCCACCATCGAAACCATATTCCAACGCAAACGTCCGGCCCAGGTTCAATTATGATTTGTTCCTGAGCATTGATCAAGCACTGATAACTGCCTCTTGACAATTTATTTTGAGACACAACAGACACACAACGTTTAAGCCTAAAGTTAAAGTTGCTTCTAGGAATCCTAATTAGACGAAATTACCATTACTCGAGAAGGTCTACAGGTCGACTACTTTCCTTGTACAGATTTCTAAAATGTATAAGTGTTTGTTACTTTTTACATTTCACTATTTGTAACTACAATACAACTTAATAAAAACCAGTATATTTTATGCAACATTTTTTGTTTAAATGACCGCTGTTTTGGATGCTTTACGGCCAATAGTGCCAAAATTTAACCTCCCATAAGTGCGAATTTAATTGTTTTCCGGTTAGCTTCTGGAATATTTCAGGTCTGACTCAGTTTTGAGTCGAGGATTTATGGAAAGCTTCTAATTGTTGCGAGAACTATTAGAGCGACTTTTGAAGGGTCATTTTGCACACACTTCAAGTGTAATAAATGGGAAATCGCTAATGGAACTCGTTAACGAGATCGTTAAATTCGATAAACAAATACATTTTTATAATGTTTACCCCTAAATAGTAGTTGTGAATCCCTTACAACCCGACTTTCGATCGCCATTTAGTACAAAGACGTCACTTGCCTAATGGTAATGTCAAATTAAGTATGTATAACTATCGCATATGTATATATTATATAAATTTATAACGACGATTGACTAATCACTGGGTTGACTTTTCAGCAATAGCGATTTGCGCTTCAAAGTCTAAAGTGTGTGCAATCCCATATGGATACGAACTCAGCCCGAACACAGGCTTACAGTGCGACGTGTGTATTACACTTGAAGTTCAATCCCAGGTATAAAAGTTGGCCCAGGTATAAAAGCCCACTCCATAGACACATTTCTCAGTTAGTTCCAGCAGCTGAATTGCTTCACATCTATCTACTTCGATTCGTAGTCGCTATAAGTCGAACTCCCATTGTAAGAGCTCCGTTCATATAGTTTTTGGTGCTGATCGAATCGCACTGTCTTTTTCATCCCACGGACAACCAGTTTTCTCATGTGTAAACAGTGACATCTTTTTGGTCAATAAATGTGTTTCAGATACGCATACAAAGTGGCGTTTGCTAGTCATTCATTTGCATACATATCTGACTAGACAGTAGCCATTAGTAGTAGCAATTAAAAACCTTTCCATCGGTCTATTAAAATCCCCAAACATAAAACTGGTTACCCGACCCATAGACCCACTAAAATTCGACCAATATGTGCTGATTAATGATGAATGTTTACCCCCAATTTGTCCACAGAAACCATCAACATGAAGATGATAATTGCGCTTTTCGTCCTTGGGCTGGTTCTGGTCGCCGCCGAGGATAAGTACACCACCAAGTACGACAACATCGATGTGGACGAGATCCTGAAGTCGGACCGCCTCTTCGGTAACTACTTCAAGTGCTTGGTGGACACTGGAAAGTGCACGCCGGAGGGCCGGGAGCTCAAGAAATCCCTGCCGGACGCCCTGAAGACGGAGTGCAGCAAGTGCAGTGAGAAGCAGCGCCAGAATACCGACAAGGTCATCCGCTATATCATTGATAACAAGCCCGAGGAATGGAAGCAGCTGCAGGCCAAGTTCGATCCTGAGGATATCTATATCAAGCGTTACCGCGCCACCGCCGAAGCCTCCGGAATCAAGGTGTAACTCACTATCATCCCAATCCCGGAAACAATTTGTTATATGCACTGTTAATTAGGTCTATTTGTATATCTGTTTATCAAAATTATTTTTACGATCGTGCGCCGAATAAAGAGATTTGTTTTGTATTCCGTACGCCTTTTGAATACATAGGGTCTTGAGAGGGGGACTTACAAGTATCAGAAAGCATATCAATTATTTCCGTTAAATGCGGCAATTTAGTCTAGTCTCATGTTAATTTAATGATGACTAATCTAAAGACAATTAAAGTCTTAAAAAAACCAGTCACAAGATTACTTCTAGACCTTAATATACGGTTTATATATGGCAAGCCGATTTGCATTAACATTGCAAATAAAGGCAGCTACGGTTAGTTGGCAAAAACATCGCGTGTTCGTCTTGCTTCTGAGTTATTACTTATATTATTCTTAAAAGGGGCAATGAAACGAAACCAATGGCCGGCAAGTAACTCAACCATGAAGTACCGTCCTTCAAAGACCGAACAATGTTGTAAGAATTATTAATGTCACGGCAAGTTCACATCGTGAAACAAAAGAAAATTAAATATTATATCAGTATACTTTAATTATCTTATAAATGTACAAAGCTTAGTGTAAAATTAGGGGCAGCGTTTACGTTAATGTCTCTCCTTGGGCGACACACGCCTCCAAATAGTCTATGCGCCGCTCAAGGATCGTTAGTTTTTCATTTAGAACCGCCAGACGGGAGCGACAGGACATATCTAAAGGGAGGGAGATACAATGTTAGCTTTTGTAGCATAGTGGTATATGGTAAGAATATCAAAAACAGGATCATAACCATAACTATTAATTTAAATGGAACCAAGTAAATGTATTCTTTGGTTTATATACCAAGTTGATTGTAATACAATTTTATTGAGGATGTACTACAGATTTTAAGTGAAATATAGCTTTCCTTCCCATAATCTGAGTTTATGTACATGTTTTCGTTATGTTTCATGTGAACTACAAATGTTTATATACGCTATAGGAATAATTGTTCCTAATCTGTTCGACTTTCTGAAGTCAAGTTCCTCTCTCTCGTTTGTTTATCATTTATCACAACATTAAGTGAACCAAAGTATTCATAATAGAACCGTTAATATTTACTCAATTTCAGTGAGTAATTCCGAAGAAGATAAACACGAACTTCTGATTTAGAGCCCAATTCGTATACTTATCGTATACAGAAACATAAGTACATACATCTGTATGCCAATTTTTCGCGTAACGCGACGGCTCTGTTTGCTTTTCATTGACTTAAAATCCGAGTAAATAAAGTCAATGGCAATGGTGGAGATTTGTTAATAATACTATTTATACGTTCATAAATTCAAGTGCCAACAAATGCACTCACACATATGTATGCGCTAAAATGTGGGTGCTTCATGATTTCTTACCGAAAGAGTTCAGAAAATCGGTAATACGCTTTATGCTGGCAGTTATTACTTCGATATATTCCCTGTTCGCCCAGTCCTGATGGATTTGCTTCTGGATCGCCTCTCTGTGTGCTCCGCTCATCTTTATTTTATTTTTATTTAGTTTCCTTAATTATGTTTACTAAAAGATAGGAGGAGCTGAGCTGGGCTGGGACAATATCGATGTGTCTTAATACTATCGATGACTGGTTTTGTAACGATATAACTATCGAATATTCACACTGTTAAAAATTTGTAGGTTCTTTAATGAATATTTAATAATCTAAATCTGGCTCACGATGAAGTGTATTACTTAGTGTTCCTGACTTGATTGATTACAAATTGTTTTTTGCAAAAAACAATAAATTTGTGATAAAAAATATAGTCTTAGAAAACTTTAACGAATTTTTTGTAGGTCAACTATTGCTAGCATTGGATAAACGTCAGAAAAAATGTATGCTTGAACGGAAGTTACGGGCAAAAATTACAACCCGGCCCAGAACCGGTTACCCTCCCCTAATAAAAAAATACCAAAATTGTTAATTAAGCCATGTACGTTCCAAGCTATTTCGTGTTCCAGTCCCGCTTGTTTCATTCGCGGAACGAAACGATAGTTATTGATGCCACACACACACGCGACACGCACACAAACATACACTAGGTGGCCCGTTAACTACAGTGTTTTTCATTTAGTAAACAAAAATGGACTTTATTGACGATTTCATAGAGGAATACAAATGCAATCCGTGCCTTTGGAAGGCGGACTCGGCGGACTTCAGGAACCGCAGTCGGCGGCAGGAGGCCTATGCGAAACTGATAGAGGTGGCCACCAAGCACGGGGAGATGTACAATGTGGAGCGAACAAAGCAAAAGATAAACAATCTGCGCTGTGCATTTCGTCATCAGTTAAGAAAGTACAACGAGGTGAAGAAAAAGGGCGAAAAGTACGAGCCCTACTGTCCCAAGCGGCGCTATTTCGAGTCCCTGATGTTCCTCAAGGACGAGGAGATCCCCGGCGACAAGAAGTGCAAGCGGGAGCAGTCGGGCTGCCTGGATAGCTCTGTGCAGCTGGCGCAGCCGGAGAATTGCGACGAGTTCTCGGACGCGGAGAGTCTTCCCAAGCCACCGAAA